TTTGCTCTGGGCATGGAAATTCTGTCATAATTCGCGAATTATCGTTATACCCGCCGTCGTTATTAGCGAAGTTAACTGTAACGTCAAGCAATCTGTTCATGCCACATGGCTGGATACAGGATTGCGCGTACATGCAAAATTAATTAATTATTTTACAAGTCCAGGCGCTAGGCCTACAGTGCATATTTTATTTATTATTATTATCACATTTTTGATAGGGCAATCCCCAGGCTTAAATTTCACGTCAAATGGGTCATCGATTGGCGTAGAACGCCAAATTTCAACTTGAGAAACAGCTCTCTCCCGTTGTTTTCCAACATTCGAGGCCAAAAAATGCGAGCACACCTTCCGCGTTGCGTCAAAAATAACCTGCGGCTTATCCAGATCCAGCCCTCTCAAATCCCCGCGCTTCGGGCATGCAGATTAAAAAGTTCTTTACCGCTGCGGCGCACATTGGATGCTTAACCCTTATATGTGTGTGTATAGCGTGCACTTTGTTTTAATTTTTCTATGATACGGCGTTACTGTACTGCTCGGCTCATCTGTAATACATGTAATGAAGGCTGGAATTTTGAAGGTATTGTTTGCCACTTCAAGTACATTACCCGAACGTCAAAAATCGGATGATATTCTGTATTCTGGTTACTTGATTATGGCACAATTGACTGTATTGACGCATTTCTGGGCGTTCGTCTAATGGCCAGCCTTATATACGCACCTCACTCTTGGTGGGCCCAGATTATCTCAGCTCTTCGGTGCCAACACACAATATTATGGCATGTACAGTAGTCAGATTTTTGTGCCACTCTGCGGAGATGCAGCGGAGTTTCCGTGTGGTATTACATTCAACTTCGTTAAAAACAATTGCGGATATAATGACAATTCGCGAATGACAGAATTTCCATGCCCAGAGCAAAGTCCCACCTAACTGTAAGGCCACCCTTTGTTAATTCATTGTTTAACGTCCTTTTTTTCGCGAAAAGGTACGCGGGAGGGCGGAAAAAAAACAAAAGCCCATTCCAAAAACTGGAAACCCCAATCAAACATTTTGACCAGTAAAGCATGTGATATACAATATTTCTGGGTCTAACGGAACTTGCAGGCATAGAACAACACTCTTTGATGGTACATTGGAGCACATGCCTGATGAATCCAACAAAACAGGTACATAGCATGGAGTTAGCATGTCATGAATTCATTACCATCATCTGGTTTTTTACTAGGTCACACACCGTACGATATTTAAAAGCCAACAAAAAAAGAGAAAGAACACAAGACAAAGGCATGCCCGGGAGGCAAGATTATACTGTAAGTTTAAGGTCATGATCGGCACACTGTGAAAGAAGAACTACACAATCATGTATTTACAACTTCGCATATTATTGGTACAGTCGTCCCTCTCTAATCCGGCACCTTTTGCTACGGCATTTTCTGCTGGATTAACGAGGGTGCTGGATTAAGAAATCCTGCCCTCTGACCCGGCCCTACCCAATTGCATGCATGTATCATATGTATGTCAAAACGCAGGGTTTTTCCGTGTCGACCCAAGTATTTGGTGCACGGCTTTATATTCTCAATTGTTCTCCGGGAATATACAAAGTGATAAAGTAAAACAGAGAATATGTTCACATGTACTCTTGCACACACACGCACACACACACACACACACACACCTGAAAATTGGCAGGACACTACTCCTTGCTAAATAAAAATAAGAAAGTATAGTTGACTGCCGTCTTTGTGGTACACTCTCACAACACCAACACACAGAAGTAGTCTCTGCTGAGAGCACGGTGGCTCGGCAATGGCCTTTATTTAGAATTTTTTCCTTTTTTTTTTTTTTTTTTTCTTTCCTATAATTATTTGTACATTTACAAAAATATATCAACGATCGACACAGCAGTCAATCAAAAATGCTGATAATTACACAGCACACAACACGCCACCAACGGCATAACAATAGGGAAATGTAAAAGCGCACACCTCAGAAACGCAAGAGAACACCCTTGCACATCATCTTCACACCGGCACACCACACAGGTCATCATCCAGCTTCAGTTAACACAATGCCTTGATGACCCCTGAAAATCCCAACCCTTCAATTCAATCTTGCAATTCAATCTTGCATTCTGCCCCATGCCAATTCATCCCCTGTCAATAACCCTCTGAAGCTGAATGTAACCATACAACAGCCCACGACGCGCACACCACCCCTAAAGTTTTTCTAAAAGACCAACAAAGAAAAACACCGCAGTCGTAACTGCCCTAGGCAAAAACACACACATCAACACAATGTCTATAAACACCCTTCAGTCCGGGGTGGGAGGGCGGGAACAAACTAAACGGAAGAAAGGCCACTGCGAAGTGACGGAAATGCGGTCAAGGACCGCATCTTGTCGGTACCACATTCTGTGGAATGAAATCCAAAATCGGAGCGATTTTGCAGCGTCTTAGCGCAAATTGTTTCGAGTTATCCACAAAGACACAAGCTTTCCAACTCTCTTCGGCCGTTGGAAAGCGTACCGTCTTTGTGGTACACTCTCACAACACCAACACACAGAAGTCTCTGCTGAGAGCACGGTGGCTCGGCAATGGCGACAGAAAAGGATAGCCCTGGGTGTATGTCTTACCGCATACCCCGTGTTACCTGTAACGTTGCATCAGCCGACTCAGCTACATAGCCTTGCATGGATTCCAGGTGCTTCCAACCACCATGCCGTTGCACTAAGCGCACGGGTATGCCAGGTGCCCGTAACGCAGAGGAAACGCCGCCGGCACGCAGACTGTGCAGTCCATACTCTTGAACTCCACTCTGAACATCACTCACTCCTGCCTCACGCAGCATATCGAGAAACATCTCCCTTGCTCGGGAGTATGTCATGGACCCATGGACTACCTGCACTCCTTTGTCCATCTGGATCTTTCCGAACAACGGCTGGCCGGGCTGATGCTGTGCCCGGTCCAGAAATGTCTCCATCCAGAACACGGCACAGACTGAACGGTCGGGGCATCTGCTGATCGGCACCAGATGGCCCTCACGGAACTGGTCATTCTTCCTGCTGTCCAAGAACACTGTCATATGCTGACTGTTAACTTCAATGTTCGTAACCTTCAGACGCGACATGTCATCCCAGCGCATGAAGCCTCGGAAACCGAGGGTAATCAGTGCCAGCATCTGTAAGTGCATGAGGGACAGCCTCGGGCGGTCAAACGTACATACTAGCTGTCGCAGTTGAGCCATGGTGATAGGCGTCTTCTTGTGTGCTGGCCGAGCGAGCAGCCGCTGACAACCCAGGATAGTTTGCCCCACTAGGGGCGTGTCCGTTGGGGAGGGTAAGCACACTTTGCGATGGGCCCACGCAATAGCTGACACAGCACTACTAATCGGTGCTGAAGATGACGCCGCAGATAGCAGTTCAACTAAATACAACGCCACATGATCAGCCGATGCTGGAAGATAGTTCACTTGCACTCTCCTACACCACTGCACAAATCGGTCAAACGTCTGAGAATACTTGGTCACTGTTGAGCTGGCATGCTCACACATCATTACAGCTGGCAGCGCTTCAGCCAAACTTTGTAGCCGTGGGTGCCTCTGCTGACGCATGAGTGCAAATACAGGCGCTGCACCTGGGCAAAAACACACACACACACCCACACACATAGCCAGCAACAAGCAGCAGGCACACACACACAAAAACTGCAGGCCAATACTGACAAGCTATTTCAATATACCTTCAGAGACAACTCTCTCTCTCTCTCTCTCTCTCTCATTGCCCGAAGGCATACACACCCACCAAAAATGCGCCACTTCGGCATTAGCTCTCTCACTCATTGCCCGAAGGCATTCACACCCACCAAACTTTGCCACTTCGGCAATATCTCTGTGCCACCGCGGCATTAGTTCTCTCTCACTCATTGCCCAAAGGCATTCACACCCACCAAAGTGCGCCACTGCGGCATTAGCTCTCTCTCTCTCTCATTGCCCTAAGGCAGTCACACCCACCAAACGTTGCCACTTCGGCATTAGTTCTCTCTCACTCATTGCCCGAAGGCATTCACACCCACCAAACTTTGCCACTTCGGCAATATCTCCGTGCCACCGCGGCATTAGTTCTCTCTCACTCATTGCCCGAAGGCATTCACACCCACCAAACTTTGCCACTTCGGCAATATCTCCGTGCCACCGCGGCATTAGCTCTCTCTCACTCATTGCCCGAAGGCATTCACACCCACCAAACTTTGCCACTTCGGCAATATCTCCGTGCCACCGCGGCATTAGTTCTCTCTCACTCATTGCCCGAAGGCATTCACACCCACCAAACTTTGCCACTTCGGCAATATCTCCGTGCCACCGCGGCATTAGTTCTCTCTCACTCATTGCCCGAAGGCATTCGCACCCACCAAACTGTGCCACTTCGGCAATATATCCGTGCCACCGCGGCATTAGCTCTCTCTCACTCATTGCCCGAAGGCATTCACACCCACCAAATTGTGCCACTGGGGCATTAGCTCTCACTCTCTCTCATTGCCCGAAGGCATTCACACCCACCAAACTGTGCCGCTTCGGCATTAGCTCTCTCACTCATTGCTCGACAGCATTCATACCCACCAAACTGCGCCACTTCGGCATTCATTCTCACTCATCGCCAGACGGCAATACTCACCCAATCTCCTTATTTTGTTATAGATTATGTGATATGGACCTCATACCTGGACCAAAACAATACTCCTGAGCACATTTCAGCACACCATACACAGCGCAGCAAACCAAGAACTGAGACAAACCCCAGCGCCTGGGGCAAGCATCGCCCAAACCCCCCAAAAAATTAACATTAACGCCGAAAAAACCAACATAACTGGCTGCATGGCATTGTGCATACTCTACGCTAATCCTTATGCGGGGAATTCTATGTTAGCAAGCTATCCTTGCCTACGTATATACATGTTGGTTTGTCACTTCTTGCCCCCATGGGCCAAAGGCGAGCAAAAGTTCATGATCACATAGCGAGACCATCCAATGCAATGGGTTTGTGAGCATGGGCAGCGCACTCTTCACGGAAACACAGTCGAACGGCAACCATGGACGAGGTGAACGGGCCATCGGTGAATAGTACTGGACCTGACCCTCTAGCAATGAACAGTCCGGGGTACAAAGGGATTTCCACCCACTCTACTATGTTCTGCCGGCAGCTTCCTGCGATGTCATAAAACAGCAAGTGCCACCAAGGTTGGGCGGGCCAGTTCGGTACCAGCAAGCTAGCATGCTGAGCACATGCCTTTGCATACCGCAATACACAACCGATTAGCTGAACAGGAGGGAACAGCCAACAATCCTCGTCCTTCCAGTCTAAGGTGAAGGCATTGACAGCCGTGCAGCCTGGGTTGAAAAACCGAGAGCAGTAGCGCGGCAGTTGTGCCGACAGCACACTTGCGAAACAATCAATACTGTGCGGGCCCCAGCTCTCGTCTAATGCTCGGAACACTGTCGGGTTGAGCTGGAAATCTGACGCATCTTGGGCCTTGGATATTCTGTCAGCCACGGTGTTGTCATCCCGAGGTACCCAGTCCACAGCAAGGTGGATACAATGGCGTTGGCACAGCTCCGTAAGCTGGATGACTTCTTCGTGGATGGCCGGAACACGGCTACCGTTTTTGACCACACGCACCACATTTTGATTATCGGATCGGTGTAACACTACCCGGTTGGACAATGACGACACTAGAGAACTGAGCACGCACTTCATCGCATTAACTTCTCGCCATGTGGAGCTAGTCGCCATAGGTCCCTGGTGTTCCGCAACAAAATTGCCGTGTGCTATCTTGATCGGTGAGCTGTGCACGTATCCGCCCCATGCGACATTGCTGGCATCGGAATACGTGAAAACCTGGATGCGAGGTTCAACAGGGAACATCGGAAACTCAACCACAGGTTTGCCGAAAAAATTGTTCCAGAAGGCCAGCTCCCGGGTAACCGCCGAAGACAAATGAAGGTGATGCTCAAAGCTGCGAATTTCTGCAAGCGCACTGTACATTGACCTCGTCCACAAACTCGTGGATGGCCCGATAGCCAGGCGGAGGGATTGCACAAAACCTGCAAATGACGCAAGCGACCTTGCCTTAACTGACCTCTTTGAGCGCAGGAGGCCAACAGCCATATTACAGACACGTTCCGCTTTTTCTTTCGGCACGCGGAAAACAGCAATTTTCATGTCCACCTCACACCCCAGTACTTCGAGCACCTGACTGGGCACCCACCGAGATTTTTTCACATTCACGATAAAACCAGAAGCTCTCAGGTCTTGCTGCATCTCCTTCGCCATATGGTCTGCCTCTTCGGTGGATGACGCTGCCGCTGTCCCGTCATCAAACGCCCTAAAGCCGCGCTTCCTCCAGTGGGTAATAAGCGGCCTAGTGACCTTGGTGAATACATGCGGTGCCGTGGCCAAGCCAAAAGGAAGAGCCGCAAAACAATAGTGCTGATCCTGCCACATGAACCCGAGGTACTTCTTGTGGTCCTCGTGAATAGCAATATGGTGATAGGCACTTTTCAGGTCGAACTGTACCATGAAGTCGCCTTTCATGAAGAGTTCAGTTAATGTACGCAAATCATCCACCCGGAACTTAGGGATGACCAAGTATGAATTAACAAATCTAAGGTCTACAATAAGACGCAATTTCTTGCCATTATCTACCACATTAATAGGGCTACAAACAATTAAATCCTGCACATTGACTCTTAAAACAGAACCAGCCTGTAATAACTCTTCAACTGCCTCCGAAACAAACTCGGCGTGCTTGGCTGGTAAAACGGCATTACGTATAGCTTTACAAGGCGGCAATTCAAAAAAGGGGAGCAGATAGCCATGCTCCAGAATGTGGGTAACCCACGCACCTGCATTAATAAAATGCCAAAAACCTAGGCACTTGCGCAAACGCATGCACACCACCTCGTTATTCGCACTATCACATAACTCGCCTGGCATGACCTGTATTGCCTCCCCAGACTCAGACTCGCACCCTCCCACACTACACTTTTCAAGTGGCCAGGCACTCGTGGCCCGGACAGAGCACTCATCAACCGCAAATACATTATCATTATCTGCAAAAACATCTCTGACACCACTTGCCTGCTGGCTGAGTCAGTGATGAGGCTGCATCGGCGGCCGAGCACCCATCCTTGGTGCCGGAGGGGCTGTAAGCCTCTGAGCTTGCGGCGATGGCGAGGTTACGGTAGCCGGGTTACCGTGGGGGCAGTGCCGAGCGATATGCCCCAGGTTATTACAGCTGAAGCATAGCGGCCCTGGGCCCGGATGACGTCTCTGGTTGCCACCCTCTTGCCGAAGCCCGGGGAATGGCGGACCACTGCGCTGCGCTACACTGCCGCTGTTGCGAGTGCTCCCCGATTTCCTTCTGATCGTAGCCCTTGCCTCAGCCAACCGTTTTCTCTGCTCATCTGTTGCCACCAGTGGCTCACGGGCATATGCCGTGGCCACTTCGAACCCCTCAACGTCTGCAATACGGAGATACTGCATGCGGTCGGCAATAAGACTCTTACCAGTCTCCACGGCCTCCTCGACCAGACGGTTGCCGTCACCCGCTTGCTGAATGCGCACGAATTGCTCGCGCAGCTTAACCAGCAGGTCCTGCTGGCCTTGAAGCGACGGCTTGCTCAGTGATGGTGGCGGCGGGGTTGCCGCAGTCCCTTGCGTCTCGCCCGTCTTTTCATGGAGCCTTGCCACTTGCTCCTGTAGGCGCAGCGCCCATGCAGGGGCGGTACTGTCCTGCACGTCCCTTGTTGCAGTAAATGCAGGTGGCAGCTCGGCTGCAGCAGACGACTCGTACGGCTGACCAGCAGCCGGTGATAGATATGGCTGACCAGCAGCGGACGACAAGTATTGCTGACCAGCAGCGGACGACAAATACGGCTGACTAGCAGCGGACGACAAATACGGCTGACCCGCAGCAGACGACAGATATGGCTGACCAGCAGCAGACAGATATGGCTGACCGGCAGCAGACAGATATGGCTGACCAGCAGCAGACAACTCATACAACTGACCAGCAGCAGATGACGAATACAGCTGATCCGCGGCAGGCGACAAATATGACTGACCGGCAGCCACAGGCAAAGATGGCTGACTCGCAGCAATGAACAAATTTGGCTGACCAGCAGCTGACAAAATTGGCTGACCAGCAGCAGCAGCAGCAGCAGACAAATTTGGCTGACCAGCAGCAGCAGACTGACCAGCAGTCACAGACATGGATGGCTGACCAGCAGCAACAGACAAATTTGGCTGACCAGCAGCAACAGACAAATTTGGCTGACCAGCAGCGACAGACCTGGATGGCTGACCAGCAGCAACAGGCAAATTTGGCTGACCAGCAGCAACAGACAAATTTGGCTGACCAGCAGCAACAGACAAATTTGGCTGACCAGCAGCGACAGACATGGATGACGGACTCGCAGCAACAGACAAATTTGGCTGACCAGCAGCAATAGACATATTTGGCTGACCAGCAGCGACAGATACGGGTGGCTGATTCGCAGCAACAGACAAATTTGGCTGACCAGCAGCAGACGAAGGTGACTGACCAGCAGGCACGGACAAATTTGGCGGACCAGCCCCCAGAGACAAAGATGGCGGACCGACAGCACTGGATACGGATGGTGGACCCACCGCATTTGCCAAATTCGGCTGACCAGCAGCAGCACTCACAGACGGGTCACCGGCAACCACAGACATGTTTGGCTGCCCTGCAGCAAGTGTCAGGGACGACGACTGACCAGCAGTACTAGACGATAATGGCTGACCAGCAGCAACGGAAACCGGCAACACTAATCCATCCTGACCAGCAGGGGTGGTGCTGGACAGACCAGCCGCCAGCAGTCGCTCTACCAAATCTCCCTTACGGCCGCTGACATCCAGCTGCCTTTCCTGCAGCAGGAGTCGCAATTCGGGGACAGTTCTCTTTGATAGCGAACTCTTGTCCATTTTGCAAAAAACAAAGCCGATACTCCCAAAAACAAAGAACAAACTAAACGGAAGAAAGGCCACTGCGAAGTGACGGAAATGCGGTCAAGGACCGCATCTTGTCGGTACCACATTCTGTGGAATGAAATCCAAAATCGGAGCGATTTTGCAGCGTCTTAGCGCAAATTGTTTCGAGTTATCCACAAAGACACAAGCTTTCCAACTCTCTTCGGCCGTTGGAAAGCGTACCGTTGTCTCCTGGACAAGCCTAGCCTGGCCTGGCAAGGAGTGCACCTGTACGGTACGCGATTTAGATTTACGACTGCCGGATTATGAAATCAAACTACGTGCAGTTTGAGCGATTCGTTTCAAAAAGTCACTGCCGGAGGCGGAATTCAAGTGCCGGATTAAGATGTAGGAATTGAACGAAAAAAATCGGTTTCGTCAGAAAGTGCGCCGGTTGGCAAGGGTTCCGGATAAACAAGTGCCGGATTAGAGAGGGACGACTGTACTACTACTTTACGAAGTAGTGGTTGCGACTTCGGCGATGATTTGTAAGAAAGGTTTGCTCCCCACACCGGAGCTCGCGCTATTCCGCCGACTTTTCTTGACACTTGACTGACTCACGACTGCCATCCAGAGCACACGAGAAGTCCATCGAACCTTCGACTCGGCAAACCTGCAAGAAAGCACCACTCCCTGCTCAATACACAGTGTTTCGGGGAATTCACCCCTCATCAGTTGAGCTTGAGTAGGCTGAGGAAGATTGTGCCTGAAGAGCACCACTTATATAGTGCTCTCCAGGCGCAAACATCACCAGGGATACAAACTTACAGAGACGCTCCGCTTCCAGCGCGACAAACACCTCGTGAACACCAGATAGCAGCGTGAGTCAGTGTCGCTCCTGGACGGTGAGACAGACGTCGAGGACCCTCGGTCATTCGCAACGCTGTCACCTCCAAACCAACTAGTCGCAAGCCCGCGCTGGGCACAACAGTACGAAGTAGTGGTTGCGACTTCGGCGATGATTTGTAAGAAAGGTTTGCTCCCCACACCGGAGCTCGCGCTATTCCGCCGACTTTTCTTGACACTTGACTGACTCACGACTGCCATCCAGAGCACACGAGAAGTCCATCGAACCTTCGACTCGGCAAACCTGCAAGAAAGCACCACTCCCTGCTCAATACACAGTGTTTCGGGGAATTCACCCCTCATCAGTTGAGCTTGAGTAGGCTGAGGAAGATTGTGCCTGAAGAGCACCACTTATATAGTGCTCTCCAGGCGCAAACATCACCAGGGATACAAACTTACAGAGACGCTCCGCTTCCAGCGCGACAAACACCTCGTGAACACCAGATAGCAGCGGTTGGTTCTAGTTGGTTTGGAGGTGACAGCGTTGCGAATGACCGAGGGTCCTCGACGTCTGTCTCACCGTCCAGGAGCGACACTGACTCACGCTGCTATCTGGTGTTCACGAGGTGTTTGTCGCGCTGGAAGCGGAGCGTCTCTGTAAGTTTGTATCCCTGGTGATGTTTGCGCCTGGAGAGCACTATATAAGTGGTGCTCTTCAGGCACAATCTTCCTCAGCCTACTCAAGCTCAACTGATGAGGGGTGAATTCCCCGAAACACTGTGTATTGAGCAGGGAGTGGTGCTTTCTTGCAGGTTTGCCGAGTCGAAGGTTCGATGGACTTCTCGTGTGCTCTGGATGGCAGTCGTGAGTCAGTCAAGTGTCAAGAAAAGTCGGCGGAATAGCGCGAGCTCCGGTGTGGGGAGCAAACCTTTCTTACTACTACTTTCTTGTTTTTTTTTCCGGTCGGAGGCAAAAAGGTACGCGGGCGCGGACGTTAAACAACGAAAAAAGAAAGGGTGGCCTAATGCATATAATGAGACTTCGGGTATAAGGACACCTCGCGAATACTGAAGGACACTTTTCTGATGCCCCGCGGCCGAGTGTCGTTATTATGTTATACGCAGTTGACTGTACATGTATGATATTGGTTTTCCATGTATGAGTAGTGTTTCGGTAACCTTGAAGTTCTTGTGTTTTGTTTCAGGGCAGACACATCACGTCAATGACATGGCATGACGATCTTTCATCGAGTTTCCCGTAATCTTCCTGCCTACAATAGAGCATTGATTATACGGAATGGGAGGGGCGGCTAGGGCGCTACCCGTCGATGCATGGTAGAACTACTTGTCCGGTCAATAAAGGATTCTGCTTGATACAGGGTCCGACAAAAACAGGTTTTATTGTGCGAGTTTTGATGACACAACTGTTTCACGTGCATGTTTGAGCTATATACCGCTCGTGTATCTGTGACTCTCATTATCCGAACGTTTCCACGTCCAAACTGGCTCTGAGCTGTGTCTGCTGCGACAGGCTCGGATAATCGCCGCATGTTTTCATGTAGAGCTTGCATCTGCTCGAAGTTTGATTGAGTATGGATTGACTGCAAAACATGCAATGTGTGCATAAGGTATCTGTGGCACTTGTATGATCTACACACAGGAAACCACCTGCACAACACCACCACGAAAGGACGAGATGGCTGGGCACTCTCGTGGTACTTTACGGTATTTCAAATGGGCACA